TCGTGAGGAAGGTGATTATTATGATGGGACGGGCTTCGATAATCATCTTTGTTCGGGCATTTGTAATATTTGTGAGTGCCATCTCTCTAATAATCATAATAATCACCTTCCTCACGACTTGTTGGCCAATAAACGCAGCAATGATGGCAACATCAATCAGGCAAAGAGTCAAACACAGAAATGCAGAAATCATTGATTTAATACAGATTTAAAAAAATAAAAATTAAATAACTATGATGTAAGAACCAATAAAAGTTCACTTATTGTCGAGATTGAACAATCCTTGCATATTTGGTACATAGTACTTAAATAAGAACTTGAACTTTTGTCGAGTATCATGCCATTCACAATACTTGCACTCTTAGTTGGACGTGTACTTACCATATGAAACTGGAAACCGTTTTAGAAGGTAATATTCAACCACAGACATTGATGAGGAAAACATCATAGCAAAGGTGGATGTCACACTTGAAACCTGAATGGAAGTATAAATATCAACCGTCTTCTCCACCTCTCACATTTAACAGAAAAGAAAATGATAAAATTTTCTTATATTTAATGATGAAGGAAAGGAAAAAGAATTCCAAAATCTTTGTATAATTGTTTGAACATCATTGTAAGTGAAACCTTTAAGCATGTAATTATACCTAAAAATTGACTACCAAACTCACCAAGCGTTGTTCTGAATAAATTGGGGATCAGTTCAACATTTTCTATAGAAAGGAGTCCGTAACATTATTGTAGAAAGATCTCACACTCAAGGTGGAATGCCTAACTCCAAAAATATTGGACCCATGATAGATCCACCTCCCACACCCAGTAAACCCCATACCGTACCAGCTAGTGCACCCAACAAGCAATATGTTATCAATTGGTGCACTTTCAAGTTGGAGCCATCATCTCTCTTAGATGCAATTTTTTTCCATCCCTTGTACATGCAAATTGATTCATGACCATAAACGCCAAGAGAGAGGGGGATGTGCAGAGAAGAGAATGTTAGCTTTGAATGCTAAATAAATAAGTATAACAAGATTTTTAACATATCATGGAATCAGCTACAAGTTTCCCAAATATGAAGATAACCATGTACACATAACTACAGCAAGTTCACTACTCAGTATATTGTTGAACATGTAGCTGCATGGTTCTGTTCAATTTGATAATGACTAAGGGAGTATTGGAGATACTGACAAGTTAAGAAACCCAACTGGACGTTTCTGAAAGTAAAAAAAATATTTGAAAGGAAAGAGAAAAAAGTGAAAACCTTGATGATCTGCAGTGCAAGAAATGCCATCCAAACAAAGATCAGAAGACTGAGTTCCTTCAAATGAACATTCTCGACGACACGGACCTGAGATTGTGAGTTATGTCATATTTGAGAGTTTGGGAAATACATACTAGTATGGAAATATAACACACGTCAGGTTTTGCCAAGCCTTTGGCTTTTCGTGTCATTGCTAGGGCCTCCACAAAGATGACTATTATCTGCTTCTTCTGTACCATTGCTTGGTGGAACAGGAAAAACGCATGCTTTATTTGGCAGGGAAATTATGGGCCAAAAAGGAAAACAGAAAAAGAAAAGGAGATCCTTCGGTGCATGTTTGGTCTACAGTATTATATTGTACTCAACAATACAATGAACAAAATTTTATGAATGAACTCACTGCTTGCCTACATTGCTTCGCAGCCTCCTGCAGCAAAACAACAATTGTCATTCAATACGAAAGAGAAAGACGAGCTATACCAAGAGAGGACATGAGGATCCAAAGAATATAAATATACATTGCCCTTGGATTTTGTCACGACTCAATTAATTTGATCCCTCATCTATGAGATTCACGATGCAAATGTGAATAACATAAGAAACCAAAATGCCACCAAACCAAGTTTCAACTCCTTTGAAAAAGGCCTTAGTTGATGTGCCTGCAAGTGTCATAACATATAAAAAAGAGGCACTAAAGCAGGATACATAATAATCCAATTATAACACAAACATTCATTACTTACATAGAGAATGATTAAAAGAACAGTGACCATCCAATCGGCAAATATCACATTGAAAGAAATTCTGATGCTAATGCCTAGCATAAGCATAGGTTGGACATGAACAACCAAGTCATAGACGATAATTGGCATGTCAATAGTCAAATGCCTGAGCTTCAGATTATAGTAAACAGTCGAGACTGCAGCTCCCATGATCATGCCTGTCAAATTAGAAATATTTATGTCAACCCAATAAACCCAATAAATGAATTTATGTCAACCCAATAAACCCAATTTGCATCTCAAAATTTCCCTGCAAATTGAAAGCAACCCAACAAACAAAACTCAATAAACTATACCTCAATTGTCGCTTGTTCTGACTTGGGTGGTTAGGTAAATGGGCTCAATTCAAAGGGATGATGGCTGATTGAACAACTAGTAATCTGGAGAGAGAGGAACAAAGCTTAAAGAAAAGGCATGGAGGAAGAAGAAAGAAATCGTGAAGAAACAAGAAAGAAATTGAACAATAAAAGACAAAAATTAGGGTAAATAGTAATAGCCCAAAGTCTCATGCCATAAATAATTTAATATGAGGAAAAAACGGCATGCCCTAAAAGTACGCCATAATTTTTGAACTTTTACGGCGTGCAAAGAATGTACGGTGTATGTACTTTATGCAATTGATCATTTACGGCACACATTTAAGGCGCATTGTAAAAAGTCTATTTTTACGGCAAGCGTCAATTGCACACCGTAAACATATGTCGTAACAAGCTATTTTTGTTAGTGAATGATGTTTACGACTCCATTCAACTGTATGTGAACTTATCCTAGGAATAATTCAGTTCATCTTTAGCCATTAAATTTAAAGGAGACATAAGTTGGTGATCTTCTATGGCTGAAAGTACTTATAAATCAAGAACTTTAGTGCCGTTAAAATATTTTATATGCATAGTTTGTTCTTCTTGACTACAAGGAGACTAAGAACTTCAGGTAGAGGCTGCCTAAATCTATATGCATAGATTACTGGATTTGAATTAATACAATCGACAAAGAACTTAGAATATCCAATCGTGGTGTATAAGTCATCATTCCATGTTATATCAGTATGCTTTTTAACTCACATTTTGAGACAGCAGCTGCTGATTTCTGATCAAATCCAATTATCAGAGTAAGCATGGGAACAAATATCCTACCACCACCAAGGCCACCAACACTTCCAATAGATGCTCCGAAATATCCAATTATATGCTACCAACAACAATTTGCCGGTTGATTTTCAGATCCTGTAGACAACATAACAGATTGTCACAAGCAACAGGTTATAATTGGTGCACTTTCAAGTTGGAGCCTTCATCTCCCTTAGCCGCAATTTTTCTTCATCCCTTGTACAGGCAAATTGATTCGTAACCAGATACGCCAAGAGAGACGGGGATCTGCAGAGAAGAAAATGGTAGTTATGAATGCTCAAGAAATAGGTATAACAAGATTTTTAACATATTACAGAATTGGCTACAAGCATGGGCGGAGATAGGGGTGGGCTAGGGTGGGCTCTTGCCCAAGCCCAGACTCTGAAAAAATAAAAAATTGTTGAAGCCCAATTATCCTTTCCAGCCCACCCTTACCCAAGTCCACCCTTTGAAAAAAAAAGAATTTGGTTAAAGCCCTAGCCCATATGAAAAATTGCAAGCCCAACCCACCTAAAATTAAACCCAAATTCCCAAACCCACCCATACCCAAAACCTGAACC